CGGTGGCAGGAATCGGGGGTCGTTGTGCTGGTGTCGTTGGGAGGACAGGGTAAACAAGCAGTGCGTTGTCATCAGCGCGAGCTGAAACGGTTCAGCGACTCCCAAAGTACCTCGGAGAAGCTCGTGTCTGCAGATGGCCGTACAGCGCTCTGTGGCTGTTTCTGAAAGCTGTCCCAGTAGCCGGATGTTAAACGTGAGGATTCCGTCTTTGTACGTCCTGCACCCAAAGCTTCAGAGCTTGTGCCAGAAAGATGGGGAGAATGACTCTTTTTGTGAATAATTGGACTGTAAGTTGTGCATGTGCTCTTGTAACGTGAACAGATGCTCTAGGTTTTATTGGCTTTCAGCATGTTTACAGGAAGGGGTAAAAGCAAGAAAAAAGTTGGTGTAAACTTTAAACAGGCTATTTGAAGCTGAAAATGGAAATGTGACAGACTCCAACAGAGCATTAATTCTTATATGTAGAGCTGCCTTCATATAAAACATTATTTGCTTCTTTGTTTAACACAGCACAGCAATAAGATCCCACAGCTTGCAATTCTACGCTGTCATCTGAATTCAACATCAGCTGCCTTTACCCTGGTCCCTGCAAGATGCCAGCAGCCCTGGCAGAGAACAGCCAGGTTATCTGTGAAGTATGGGCGAACAATCTGGAAGAAGAGATGAGGAAAATTCGAGAGATTGTTCTAAGTTACAGCTACATTGCAATGGTAAATATTTTGTACTTGACCTAATTGCCTTACTCGAGGGATTTTTTTGGGTAGGGAGATAAGTTGATTCCTGAGTGAGAAATGATTTCTCTCCGTCTCCAGTCAACTTGACCTAGAAGTTAATTGGTGGAAAACTAGAAAGTGATTTAGTAGAAGCTTTCCAGACTATAATACAGGTAGTGTTGAATATGAATGTAATGAAAGATGAGGAAGAGAGAGACCACCTTAAAAATCTGAATTAAAGTTAGCTATTTATAATGTTTTCATTTGTGCAACAGAAAAATGAAACAGGTCAGATGTACAATTGGCTTTAAATCTTTAGTTTTTGACCAGTGTATTTGTCCTTTGAACATGTTTTTTCATTTGCTTATGGAAGATGCTGTGGTCCTGTAGGACAAAAGGCCTGCAAGTGACAACTAGTCAAGTGGGCTGCTTCCTATTTAATGAGGTCAGATGTTGATTCTTAGGGAAGAAAAATATTCTGGCTGTGTGTTTGACAGTGTGTTCAGAAAGTTTCATTTAAGGTCACAGAATCTCTTCCTGCCCTTAGAAGTCTATTTATGCTTGGCAGAAGGCAATTGGATACGTTTAAGTAGCTGGTTTTAGTTATGATACTGTATGTTAAGCCAACTTTGCTTAGGAACACTAAACTTCAAGATATGAAAAGTCATTAATAGAAGCATGGCATAAAAACACACGCCCCTGCGGAGTGTGTAGCATTTCAGTGTAGAAAGCAGTTGTGTAAATAAATATGATCTTTTGTTAGTCAGTGGAAGATGAGCTTTCTTTTATTTGATCCTGTTGAAAGTGTGCTTATGACCACTGTTAGTGGCTGTGCTGTAAGAGGGGACACAAAAAGGTCTTGGGCAAGGGAGAAGTTTTGTCAGATACACAGCACTGGATTCTTCATGAAACTTTTTACTTACGCCCTTGTCAGTAGAAGTTGTGTGACCCAGTCTGAGAAAAAGTAGTCTAGCAGTTTGGGTTTCAGCAAATAGCACACAGTCCCTGGCCAAGTAACATGTTCTTCACCTAATAGACAGTTGCTCTGTCGTTAAGGTCTAATTAGATTGGCAGCATTTTCATTAATGTAGGCATTGGTTGTTCCTCAAAACCAGTGAAGATTATCACTCTCTGGACTATCGAATGAAGATGGTCAGAGTGCTAAATACAACGTGAAAGAACACTGAATAGATAAATAAAAGTCCTTTTTAGTACATTTAGGGAAAGTGAGTTCTTTGTGAGAAAGGATTGTTTAGGTTATACAGGAGTGCGTATTAAATGACTTGAATGTTTTTTTTTGTTTTGGAATAAAACAAAACTGCAAGAAGGGACCCTGGGATAAGTGAATGAATGCAGCAGTTAACAAACTGTGCCAGGTTTTTAGTCTCTGGCTTGTAGCAGTTTAAAAGCTGTATGAATATGGAAAATGAGGAAAAAAAGTGACTTTTATGGAAGAGTTCACAGAATGCAGTGCTGAGATATGCAAGTGTGGAACTGAATAGATGCTTAATAGAGTGATAATAATGACTCGTAATAGAGTTCGTAATGAAATAAGGTTTTCCCCTCTCTCCTAGGACACAGAGTTTCCTGGAGTTGTTGTAAGGCCAATTGGTGAATTCCGCAGTTCCATAGACTATCAATATCAGCTCCTGCGGTGTAATGTTGACCTTCTGAAAATTATTCAGCTGGGCCTGACTTTCACAAATGAAAAAGGAGAATATCCTTCTGGCATCAACACCTGGCAGTTTAACTTCAAATTCAACCTTACGTGAGTCTCTTGAGTTAGGGGATAATCATTGCTGAAGTGATGCTGTCCTGTGGCAAATGACATGTCCCTGGGTTCGTCATCGCTGGCTGGTTCTGAGCAGTAAAACCTCAGATTCTAACGTGGATTATGTGGAAACCGATTTTGGCATGATAGGAGTTTGCAGTATTTCTGGAAATCAAAGCCATGCTAAAATCCTATCCTTAATACCCTTTCTTGTGATAAATAGCCTATCCCCAGTAACTGTATGTGCCTTAAACTTTTTTCTAAAACAATGTTATGGTCTTAAACTTTGTGATTTTATATATATAAAACACATTATTTACTTATATACTATTAATTCCATCTCTTTTTGCTAAAACTAAATGGATATTCCGTTTTTAGCAAAAGGGAGAACATCTCTTTGCAGATCCATAATAAAAAAAATAATCTGGGATCTAAAGAAAAAAATATTAGTGTAATCATCACAACTGTTCAGAATGAATCTTGTTAAATGGAGTGTGGCATTTGTTCTTGTCTTCTCCTTACTGCAGTGTCCTGAGTTACTGTTGAAACAAATTTCATTATCCCTTCCCTTGTAATTATAAAGGCAAACTCAGCATAATTACCACTAGAGCTGCTTGAAAATAAAGAAGGGGTTTATCTTGCAAAAAAGACACATTTGTAGGAAAGCAGTCGGTGTTTTTCTGGAACTGCCATTGGAAGACATTACAAAAATTCATAGCTAGTATGTGCGGATGTCCTTGAACTCAAAAGTTGCAGTATTTATTTCCACAGTTTTGTGAGCCTTTTAAAAATACTGAAATCAGGGTGATTTTCAGTGTGATCACTTCATGTGACTCAGTTACCATATTTGGCATGAATTTTGCTTTGTGTGTGGACGTCCTCGTCCTTCCCTCTGACAAATGAAGCAAACCAGTACAGAAGTCAGGTTCCTGCTCAGCTCTCCACTGAGCATATCATCACCCATCCTTGTCCTTTCTTAGTGAAGTATGATGCAATTTTGTTTGCTCCCAGAGATGGAATAGGAGATGATGATATGGTGTGAAGCGAGAAACAAAAATGCAGATGGAAACGATGCTCCACACTTTAGAATTACGCATCTTCCTGTTTGGGAGACCTCCCTTTTTTTTGTGTGCTCCTGTCCGTGGTGCTTCTGCTCGCCGTACAGAAATGACATTTCATTCAGTTTTGTGGAGGTGGAATCTTTGGAATTTGCACTAGTGACAGAATTATTAACTAGTTAGATCACGGAAGAGCTTGTTATGGATGTAGGAGGCTGCAGTAGTGGTCTTAAAGCTGATGCAATCTGAATTTTCTGCACAGACAAATCTGGAACCCAGAGGTAGCCTGCTGGTCACTCCGATTTTTGAAAAACGACACAGGGAGACTTTTTTTTAAAAAATGAGCCTGATCTGGTAGTACATTGAGTGTAAAGCTGCTTTTCTTCTTCAGGGAGGACATGTACTCTCAGGATTCCATAGACCTCCTTGCCAGCTCTGGGCTGCAGTTCCAGAAGCACGAAGAAGAAGGGATCGATACCCTGCATTTTGCCGAGTTGCTTATGACATCTGGGGTCGTCCTCAGTGACAGTGTGAAATGGCTGTCCTTCCACAGGTAGGGCCGAGATGGTCACTGGTGCTGTGGAGCGAGAAATCGCTTTTTTGATTGAAATACTGCTGCTTTTGCCCCTGGAGACTACACAGGTTTTAAGGAGAAGAGTTGGCACCTCTGCAGTTCTTAAAATAGGCTTTAAAGATACGAAGGCCAGGTTTAAGAAGTAAGAACACTTGGTACTTACCGTGGTGTGAATTTTGTGTATGCTTTGCTTGCAAATCCTTTTGCTGTTAGTCTTCCTCTACGGAAGAAGTTAATAAGGACCTGAAATGTGATTTCTATGCTTGGTAACTTGTGTGCTTTGTAAAGTAAGGGTTTTGTTTCTTCTCCCTTACAATGCTGGTGGCATTCTCAACTTCAGTTATGTAGAGGGAGAAATCTGTATAGTTAAGATGTCTTGTTATCAAGCTGGAAATTCTGTTACAAACCATGGTCCTTGATTTCATTACAAGTGAAGGGACTTGAGGGAGGAGGAGGTGGTGGCAACAGATACTTTCCAGGGTTTCCTGCTTTCCTATATTGACCATAGCTACAGAAACGAGCTACAGTGCTGTGAAGAAAAGTAGGTTCTTCCTGATGGCTTAGCTCTTCTGCAAGAGGTTAACAGAGGCACCCAGGGAGCATCCAGGTCCTGCATTGACATCAGTGATCAGGATGAATTCTGGCTCTGATGTGGAGGAGTTTTATGAATGTCAGAAAACGTTAAGGTTTGAAAGCTGCAGCATGTAAATCTTCTGTGACAATTGCAGTACTGGTACTGACCAAATGTAGATGTTGCTGGCTTACCTGGTTTCTGTATCTTTTTGTTTCCAGTGGTTATGACTTTGGCTACATGGTGAAGTTGTTGACAGATTCCAGGTTACCAGAAGAGGAACATGAATTTTTCCATATATTGAACCTTTTCTTCCCATCTATCTATGATGTAAAGTACTTAATGAAGAGCTGCAAAAACCTCAAGGTACTTGTATCTCCGCAGCAAATGATGGATGTAAACGTACAGTAAGCCAAGAGACAGAATTGCTGCATAGATCAAGTATTAAAATTGGAATGTGTTAAAAAAGCTAACAGTCACATCTGTGGACACAGCACCTGTGACTAATTCGTATCTGCTAGATACTGCCTCTCCAGTTTTAGACTTATCAATATGTGTATTATATAGGGGACGTTTCTATAGCCTTCTGGTCTCTGTATGGGTGACTTGAGAGGATAATTACAATTCAGCATGCTTATCTTCCCTATGCAGGGTAAACATTTGGCAGGTTGAAAGTAATTTATTTACTTGTTTGAGGAAAGGGAGGGAAAGGTCTATGAATGTACCCACAGTCTTCTCAAGTATCTGCAGCAAGAAAGCAGGGTACCTAAATTCAACGAGAGTATTGATATGTTCTTGAACATTTCCTGCTGTTGCACGTGCAGCTGGTGTTTGTGTACTGCCAGAATCTACATTGCTCGTTGTAGCCAGTGTTTGCCCTCTAACATTCTGGACAAGCGTGGCGATTTTGCTAAGAGATGGATCTTGCAAAATAAAATCTGTTATTTTCTCGTTACAGGGTGGCCTTCAAGAAGTGGCAGATCAGCTGGACTTACAGCGAATTGGACGACAACACCAGGCAGGATCAGACTCTCTTCTCACAGGGATGGCATTCTTCAGAATGAAAGAGGTACTCAGTACTCTTCTTTATGGTTGTCTTTCTACAGTTTCTATCCATAAAGGTAGAAAAGTTCTTTTTTGGTTTTTGTTGGGTTTTTTTGAGCCTTGTGGCCATCATACTTCAAACTATTAATACTAGGAATTGTTGATATTGCCACCGAATTCTTTACGCCTCTTTCCTGTCCTTTTAATTTGCACGCTGCATCTTAGAGGTAGCTGACTTCAAATGAGCTGTTTCAGTAACACTGGATGCTTTCTGATTTAGAAGCATAATTAAACAATACCCATTTCTTCCCTATATGTATATATTTTCTTTTAAATCTGCAGTTGTTTTTTGAGGATACAATCGATGATGCAAAGTATTGCGGGCGGCTGTATGGCCTTGGCACAGGAGTGGCTCAGAAACAAAATGAAGATGTGGACTCGGCCCAAGAGAAAATGAGCATTTTGGCTATTATCAACAACATGCAGCCATGATGAAGTGGTGCCCCTCGGCAGAACACGGTTACCATATTGGCAGCTGCTGTCCTCAACCATTTTTCCCCTAAGTGTCTCAAACAAAAGGCATCTACAGTCTGCAGCCTGCAGTTTTGCTGAAGAGCTGCATCTTCATTTGAAACCTGGAAGAGAAGAGACTGAATTCCTAATGCCAGCATTTGTGGTTTGCCATCTTTTTTATACCACGGGCAAAAGACAAGAACCTACTGTGTATACCTCTGGTTTTTTTCCTCTTTATACTGTACAGAATCTGCAAGGAAGACTTAATGACAGAATGTTCAGTAGAGCCAAGGGTCTGGAAATCCAGTGAAAATGGACACAGACATGCACACAAATTTGCAAATTGTGCTTTATAAAGCTTATTTTAAAACTTCTGCATGTTGTGAGGGTACCTGCTTCACCTCATGTTTTGCTTATTTTATCTTTGTGTCGTCTGTGGAAATTGCTGCCTTTGATCACTGCAGAGGTTTGGGAATGGGTGACATTAAAACTGATCCTTGCAGCTAAAAATATTCAGAGATGTGCTTTAACAACAATGGGATTGGATTATTTCTGGAGCTGATTTGATCAGCTCTCCATAGTTGCTAATTCCGTACAGTACAGGTTTGACCCATACTGAGCCTCAGCTTAGTTCTTACAGGAACTGTTCTGGAAATAGATTAAGAGGCCTAAAAGTTCACCTTTGACAGGTATCGGACCAATGTTTTGACCTCTGTTTTCTTCAACTTAACCTACAAATTTTATTCTTCTCCTTGCAACATGAGTAGTTAGACAGATGGATCAGTATTTCTTCCTCTTCTCCCCACTGCTTCTCCAGCCCCCAGTTTTACTATATGCTTAACAACAGAAAAACCAGTTCCATTTCTCTTCATTATAAACAGCTGAAAAATAGCTGAGAGGATGGAAGAACAACCTGGGATTCTGACTCTTAAAAAAAATTACTTATTCTATAGTATCTTTTTTTTCCAACAGCTCTGTAATAGCTTTTCTTTAAAGAAAAGAAAACCAAAACCCCATCTGAACATGGCAAACTTAAAATTTAAAGACTTTGACTTGCATTTTCAACAAGCTTAAACAATCCATTATTAGGAGTTGAGGTTTAGAGCTGGTAATTAAAGTGCTTGTAAATACTACTTGTTTTTAATTTTTGTAAAATAAATTTTTTAAACCAGGCTTTGTTTTGGATTTTCCATTAAGCACTGAAATTCCCAAAGTTCAGGGTTTGCAGTCTGAATTTGAGCAATATGTGCTCAGAGATGCTCAAGTGTCTTTCTTCTTTTACAATGTGTTGCTGGGATAGTTCTTAGTAAAAATCTGCTTTCTTTGTACAGTAGCTGATGAAAATTGAGTTTAAGATCTCTTTGGGAGACTTGTATTCTCTTTCTGTTCATCTCTCAGCACAGCTGGGAGCATTCTTTCAGTGTAGCATAACCACTTAAAATGACAAATCCACTTTGCTCTGTGTGAAGTTTTCCTGCTCGACCTAATAGCGGTTCTTGCCTGAAGTGTACGGGAGGCTGTTTGGCCAAGTACCAGCTCCCCCTCCTGGTTTTCAAGTATTTCAAGTCTGTACAGACTTGAGCAAGTTAGTGGCAGCAGTTTACTGGTAAAACACATGTACAGCAGGATCTTTTAGGATAACCCCTGCCTTCAGGTTCTGAGGCTTTACTCAGGTTGGGGTAGGAAATCTGCATTTTGGCTGGCAGAATCTGGAACAGCTCTTAATATAAAAAAATCTACCCCTCATACATTTTTTCTTACACAATAATATTTAGTGTAACCTCTCTGACTTCATGACCCTCGCCATCCTACCATAAACTTTTCTGCTGCATTTCAAAACTTTCCTTCGAGAAAGTACTAGCATAGCTTCACTAAGGCTTAGGCAGCTTTATTCTTTTCTTAGGAAGAGTTAATTTTCCTAACAAGACAAGCCTTTAGGTAAGCTGTAATACTGGTCAAAATGTTGCATGTTCAAGACTCCAGAATCTAGGATTGGTTTTGGTGCTTCGAGAGTAGCAGCTTTCCTGAGGAACTTGATAGTACCTCAGATTTGCCATCACTGTAGCAAAAGCCATGGATGTTGCCAAAACCAGGTACTTTTCTTGACCTGCAGAAATCCATTACCTCTTCGCTAGTCATGCTGGAAACAAATATAAGAGATCTTGCCCTCCCTTTTATGTTGTACAGGTGGCTCCACTATGCAAAGCTAAGGAAGTCATAGCACACACTTGTTTTATATACCAAGTTTGATTTCTGTAGTACTTTTAACAAACAAAAAGCTTATTTTTAATGCATTTGTTCTTGATTGATACTTATTTCTATCTATCAAATTAATTGGCCATAAATGGTGGTAGAAGACTTTATTTAACGGAGGGAAAATAAACTCACAATGCATTTAAGAACAATACTGGCTTTAAGGGTCAGTTTGCTTACAGAAACCATTTTTCCTGAGGGCAGCTACTATTCCTCCTCTGCTGAGAGACTGATAGAGCTGCTCAAAACTTTCTTACGTGTAAATAGCAAGAGTTTTTGTTAGCATAATTTCCAACAAATAAAAAAAGACTATACAAATATCCTGTATACAGTTCAGGGCCACAACCTACTGCTTTTCAATTTTCTAACACAATCTCCTTAAGTAGTAGTAGCTGATGACCACAGAAGTGAATCAGTATGTAAACCTGACTCTTTTTGTAGCTTTATCCAAAATAACCAGGGCCATCACTTGCAACAGCCTTGATGTCAAGCAGCTGTAGGTACCTCGAGGGAGACAGTTTAGTCTCAAACTGTCATGCCAGGAACCTCCTGCCAGCCTTTCTGTAAATGGTAGCACTACCGTGTTTCCTAAGGAGATCCAAAGCCTGTTCGTGCAGATCAGGAGGGCACTGGGACCCAAGGTGAAGGAGGACAAGGCAGCATTCCAGCACGCTGGGGAAGGGGAAGACCTGCAAAAGAAAGGAACACGAGGTGAGATCTGCTCTTCCAGTTATAATTGTTCGACATATTCAGGCAGCCAGCTCTCTAAAGACCGCTCTATAGTATCTTTAAAATAAACAGTCATGTGTCAGATGCATTTCTTTCCTCTTCTTCCAGTGCATTAGCTCAAGTTTAACCAGGTTTGTCCCCTCTTACACAATCACCATGATTCCCTTTGGTTATATTATAGACTAGAGAACGGGATAAGGTAGCCTTATAAAAAGACTGTCTTTTTTCAGAACCGCAACACCTCTAGGGAAAACTTACCTTTAAATTGTCAGGAAACTCTGCTAGTTTCTGCTTTGCATTTAGAAGCTGCTTCGTTAGCTCAGGGAGTGTAATTGGTTCCTTTACTTCATCTTTACTGTCAAGAAAAGAGCAGGTGTCGTGAATAACTGTTTTGCTTAAATGACTGTATAGTCTCCCTCCTGTATGGGGAGGGCAGGATTAAGTTGGGGAAGTGATAAATGCTTTTAGCTCATTCTTGCCAAAGTCCCAAGTAATTGTTGAACCAAGAGACAGATCTCTTAAATTGTGCTTGTCCTTTTCATTATCCTTCCCTTTCAGGCTGCCCTGCTTGTTCACTGTATCAACACACCCTGTGTAACAGGAAGTTGATCAGCTGCAGTAAATTTATGCACATGGTAGCTCAGCCCCAGGGAAATGCATGACTTTTGAGTTATATGTACAAGTGTCCCTGGGTGACAAGCTTGAGATTAGAGGCAATCTAAGCTAAACTAGAAACGCACTGCACAAACACACACAAAAAGAGCAATGATTTTCTATCCATTCATTTATGTCCTCAAGCTTACCAGTTCATCTGGTTGCTGTCAGAACATGGTTTGTCTGATTCAGTCTCTGAACCCTGCTGCAGGTTGCTTTCCTGGGTGCTTCCATTTGTGTTTTCCTGGAGATTGTTCCTCTGCTGCTGATGCTGGTGGATCATATCTGCTAAAATCTGCTGGACTTCAGCTATATCTCTCTGGGTGTTCTGTAAAGCAGCAATCTCTTCTGAAAGCAGCACTTTGCAGCCACTCAGTTTTGACTGTCTGTCTACCAAATCAACTGAGCTAGTTCTTGAGCCATTTTCTGTCTCGCAACTACAAACTTCAGTTGTATTGCAGAAGTTTTCACCCATCTCATCTGCAGTTTGATCAAGAGTTTCTTCAGAGGAGGAGTGACCTGAAATGGAACTCTTTTCAAGAGCTGTCTCCTCACTGGGACACAGCACAGGATCCAAACCAGCCTTCTGCAAGACAACGGAGTCTCTGGGTGGGTTCCACCACAGGTCATACAGCAGTCCGTAAGCCACAAAGGCCTCTAAACTTCTGCAGGCATCCATGCTCTGAGAATTTGTGCTGTCCAGTTTGTGTCTCAGGTTATCACAGCCTAAAAGTGAAAAAAGGATTACTAGTTCATAGAGCTTTCCAAATAAAAAGACCAGATCTGGTAAATGAATAGGCGATCCTGGAGACCCAAAAAAAGAGATATACTCAGATGCCAGCACAGTGGTGCAGGCAGCAGCAAAGCAAAGGCATTTTTGCATCTTTGGCATCTTTTTAAACACAATACTCTGTTCTAGCTATATGTTCTGCATGTTCTCATTATCTCCAGTGAACTTTCTTGGTCCTAAGCTGCACATCAAGACATTCATACCATCAAGAACTGCAAAAAAACCGCACTGCATACTCTGCACAGAATGAAGGCGACGGCTGGTTGCAGTAATTTGTAACTGAGATTAACGCAGCTTTCCAATGTCCCTGTCTCCCTTACAGAACAGAACCTGCTCAGTTTTCTACCTCACGCACACCAGCTGACACCGCTGAGCTTCCTTCGACAGTCAGGAATTTTGATTGCCCAAGGGTCCTTCCACTAGCCAAATTCCACAGGTTTCCACATATATATGGGCATGTCTTGCTCCTTCCAAACATTATTATGGCTAGTAATGCTAATGGGTACACAGCTGTGCTTCCAAGGAAGATCCTACTATCTGTCAGAGCCAGGAGACACAGAACAGATGACTTACCTTCAGGAAGGATGATAATGCAAATCTCTTGCATCAGAGTGAAATTACCGGCATCGTAACTGCGGGTCACAGCTCCAACAATACTTTGCACTGCCTCATCCCAGGTAGCGGTCTGATAACTCAGGGCTGCAAGGGTCAGGTCATGGGAGATATGGAAAAGCACCTACAGGAAGCACCAGAGTATATGATTAATACTTTTCCTGAAAAATATGAATTACTTACAGCTTATAACTTGTAGAAGAGCCCAGAAGCCCATGACAACTAAAAGCAATTTCAACGAAAACGCAGTTTACGCGGTCTCCTTCATGCAGAACATAGAGCACTTCTGCATTACTTGTGACTAAAATCAGCAGCTGTGCTTGCATGTGTCCTACTAAACAGACGAGAAGCAGAAGCACACAAAGGTTGGTGACTCGCTGTGGTCAGAGAGAAGAGCTGCAGGAGCACCAGTCTATGAACAGACCTTCTGAACTCCAGGATACTTTAACAAGAAGCAGC